CTGTTAAGGATGGCGGTAATGAGACAAAATAACAAATCGGGGGGCACCGTGGCATCGACACACATCCACCGACCTTTTACTGCCATCTGGTCCTCTACGGAGGTAGTCAATCTGACGGGCGGCAGACGTGGAGACCTGAAGCACGCAGTAGGAAGTTAAGAGCAGCGTTCCATATCAAAAGAGGGCAGTAGTTGACCAATGGCAGTCACATTTCCAGCACTTTTTTGGCTCTAAAAGTGGAATTACAATTTTTTTCAGTGTCAGAGATCGAGTTGGGCACTCTTTCCAGTGTGATGTCATTAGTAAGTCACCAAGTGCAAGCGCTATGCAAAAAGACACAGAACGTTTTTTTCACACTAAATGAAAGACAGAATAAGCCTTGGTCACCGCCAACTAAAGAACAACATAAGTAGCCAGCTGGAACTACTGTCCATCCTGTCTCATTAATAGTGCGAGAAGCACAGCGAAATTCCAAAATGAGCGCTAATGTAAGTTTCTGTGCTAGGACAATATAAAAAATTATTTTCAAAACATTCTTTCTACGCTGGAGTTCGTGAAACTTATGACAGGCATTGAGAACATTAGACGCTGTGTAAGTCTGCCCCAATATAAACCTATTTCCGCGGAGATCACCGTCTTGTGTCATTCATGCTTTATCGTACATGGGTAAAGTCGTCGTTTTTATGGTGGGACTGCCGAACTCGTGCTGTGTGTACATACCCAACATCATTTCCGCTTTCCGCAAAGCCCTCTTAGATCACTATTCGCCCTTAAATCACTGCCAAGGTACCTAAATAATCTAACCCATTAAAGTCTATAAAATTTAAAATCTATTGCTATCGTTTTTATCGAGGCTTCGAGGACTGAAGTTAAAATAAAAGGGCTGTATCTCGGACACGATATCCAGATGGCCCGTCAGTTGCGTCACAAATCATGATCTGACTGATTGATGCCCGTGCTTGGCGGATTATTCCCTTACATCTCCTCGCCTACTTCATATAAGCTAGCCAATCTTGCAGATAGCTCTCATCCAACACCAGGCTGAGATATGTAGAGTCATGAACTGGTTCCGCTTTGTTTTCATTCCTGATTTATCGGGTTGCACTACTGGCTTTGAAGCAGGCTGACTGTGATTAAATCTACCATCGTGTGTTTACCTGTGTCCATAAATCATATTTAATCCGCAGAACCACTTTCCACATCCTCGAGTACTTTGCAGGTCTCGTTGCAGGTGAGTGGTGCCAAATAATTTAGCCCCGTCTCGACATAATTTGGCTTTACCATTGTAAATAATGCTACTATTACTGTTTATTCACAAAAGTCCAATGCACTTGATCGGCACGACAATGAGGTTAAAAGTATGGAGTATGTGGGGGACGATGAGAGCACACATATCTGTCCAGGAAGCATACCCCACACTCCTTACGGGAATCTGACAATGGCTTTTGATACAGTAAATGGCGATTGACAACGACGCTGGTAGGTGTATCGGATGCTGTAACATCTGCAATGCCATGGACTCTCGGTATCCGCTGTGTGTGGGCAAAGACTTTTGTGAGAGACAGAAAGATCCACGCAAGCGTATGTTATCCGAGCTTTCGGTGAGGTGAAGGCGCTGGTGGGGAAAGGAATGACGGTGTGAGATAGCCAGCGGTTGTCTGCTGCGCATGTTCATGAATACACATATGGCCTAGTACGGCCCTGCAATGAATGAGTATGCGGAAGTAGGGAAAGTACGTGCATTCGTAGTGGTGGTAATTCTGGCTGCTGCAGTCGATGCTGGAATAGGTGCAGGGTAAATGGTGTCAGTCGATGGTGGCAGTGGACATCAAAAGAGATTGGCGGTGACGGGGGTGGCGGTCAGCGCTAGGTTTGCAGAAGGGACGAGGGTGGAGGTAGACGTTGTCGGGTCGATGGCGAAATGTGTCTAATGGTGTCTTACGAAACCATTTCGTGCGCTGAATGCGCGTCAGCAGCGCGGACATGTTAGAGGCGGCGTATGATCGGCGTTGAGGAGGCGAGGCAGTTGTGAATTATCAGCCTCCCTCTTGGCGTTGGCAGTGGCGACCCCATTGGCTTTGTAGATGACTGCGCCGGTCTTCACTTCTCCTCGCCCTCCCCGTTTGCTTCGGGGCACGTCCTCCCATGTCGTCGAGCCGATCTGTAGGCGTCTCACAGAGTCCTTTAAAGTGTCCTACTGACACCGGTTTCGGTCCCCTTATCGACGAGGATCCATGGCGACATCACGATAGAAGAGTTGCTTTTTCTTAGTTTATAACCAATAGGGAGTTCAAGGGTTTTTGTTTATGTTTCCCAAAATAGGACGGAACTAAATTGAACTGAAATAGTTTAGGTCAGCCTCGCAAGACATCTTTATTGATGCGGTGAATCTCTGCATGACGAAGGGTAAATCGATATTTTCTATCAACGGGAGTTTTCTCCATAGTATCCGCCCTCACGCACACCGTGACGGCGTTGACCAACCCATTGAATTTGTAGTGACATTTAAGTCCGTTTTGTTTTAATCAGTTACAATACGCTTTGACACAACCTTGAATAAGACAAAAGAACACGCACGTGCACTTTTACCTGCTGACGACTTTGTTCTTATTTACTAGTTTGTAACTGTTGGGATACTGCTATTTTCGTTTACCGGATAGCCTACTCGCTGTGCCCAACTAGCGGGTTTGTCTCTTACAATGGTGACCCTATATCGTTCATAGCTCCTTCTGTTTAATTTCTGTGCATAACTATTTCCATTCGGATTAATCCTCACTCTAATTTTTATCAATCAGATTATTCATCTAGCCCTTATTTGCTATTCACACTGTCTCACCTTTTCATCCAATACGAGCGCTACCCTTCAATCTCACTGTCAACGCGCCAGTCATCTACCCCATTTATCTGACCTCTGACCGACCTCGGCTAATTATGTCCAACGATTCTACCAGCCAGCCGATAGCCGGTATTCACACCTTTGACCTGCCATCCGTGTGGCTCGGTGACATCGCGTTGTGGCTGCGCACTGTGGAGTCCCGTTTCGCCCTCCGTCAGATCACACGAGAGGATACGAAATTTCACTATGTTGTGGCAGCACTCCCAATGGACATCGCCACCGACCTCCGCGACATCATAGATTGCCCGCCCACAAAAGCCCCTTATACTGCCCTAAAGGAGGCTCTTATGTCCCGCATTTCCCTCTCAACGCAAAAACGTCTCCAACGTTTAATTTCTGAGGAGGACCTCGGTGACAGAAAGCCTACGCAGCTTCTTAGGCGTTTGGAGCAGTTGGCAGACGGACAAAAGCTGGATGCCACCATGTTCAAGCAATTTTCCCTCCAACGGTTGCCTCCTTCGGTGCAAGCCATCCTTGCGCCTAACATTCCTTCATCAACTGTTCAGATGCTCGCGGAGACTGCTGACCGTATACTCGAGTACTACCATCCTCCTGTTACGGTTAACGTCGCTAGTCGCAGTACAATTACCCCCACAATCGAGGATGTCGTCAAACGCCTGGATGCCCTCACTCTCGAAGTTTCCCAGCTCCGGGCCACTCGTGTCTATAACCCTCGTAGTCCTGCAATTTCTCGCCGCCCGAGATCTCCCACAGTTGATGGTTTCTGTTGGTATCATCACAATTATGGTTCTAACGCCCATCGCTGCCACTCTCCGTGCAAGTATAAAACACCCGCGTCGAAAAACCCCCTTGCCGACCAGTAAGGGCGACGAACGTGGTCGGCACATCCTCTCCCAGTCGCTTACTCCACATCTATGACAGGACTTCCTGTCGTAATTTTCTCGTGGATACTGGTGCGGAGATCAGTCTAATCCCACCCACCTTGACTGACCGTAAGTCACCAAATTCTTCATTTTTCCTCCAAGCAGCTAACAATACTTCTATTAAAACTTTTGGTCAACGATCCCTAACATTAGATTTGGGTCTAAGACGTTAGTTTCGTTGACTATTTACTATCGCCGATGTCCATACTGCCATTCTCGGCGCTGATTTTATATCCTTTTTCGGTCTCCTCGTTGACATTAAGTCCCATAAATTATTTGATCCTAAGACATCTTTACATTGTAATTGTTCCACTCGTACCCTTTCGTCACCTAATCCACGCATTTCAACAATCCCTTCGTCTACTCCCTATCATCGTTTACTTTCGGAATTTCCATCTATCACACGACCTTCACAATTTAACCAACCTATCAAGCATTCTGTTGTACATTATATTTCAACTACTGGACCACCCGTGTTTAGCCGTTCCCGTCGTTTAGCTGCCGATAAGTTAGCCATAGCCAAGGCTGAATTCAGTCACATGATGGAGCTAGGCATAGTTAGGCCTTCCACTAGTCCATGGGCTGCACCTCTACATATGGTGTGCAAAAAGTCTCTCGTTGACTGGCGCCCATGCGGGGATTACCGACGGTTAAACACTTGTACTGTGCCTGACAGGTATCCACTGCCCCATCTCCACGACTTTTCATCTAGCTTAGCTGGAGCAACAATATTTTCCAACATTGACTTAGTCAAAGCTTTCCATCATATACCCGTTGCTCCAGAAGACGTTCCCAAAACCGCGATTACAACACCGTTCGGTCTGTTCGAGTTTGTCAGGATGCCTTTTGGGCTACGCAACTCCGCTCAAACTTTTTAACGTTTCATTAACGAAGCCCTCCGCTATCTACCTTTCGTTTTTGTCTACGTCCACGATGTTCTGGTAGCAAGTTCCAGTGAACAGGAGCACCTATGACATTTGCGTCTCATTTTTGAACGATTGAGCCAATTTGGCGTTTTCATTAATGTTTCTAAATGCGCTTTTGGCGCAAAATCGCTGTTTTTTCTAGGACATCGCGTAGATGCTTCTGGTTGTCATCCCATAGATGCCAAAGTTTCAGCTGTTCGCGATTTCCCTACTCCCACTTCTTTTCAACAACTGCGCCGTTTTATAGGTCTTATCAATTTCTATCGACGTTTCATCCCTCATTGTGCTCAATTAATGCTACCACTTACTAACCTTTTACGCGGGAACAACCGTGAGTTTTCTTTTCCTGACACAGCTGTAGAGGCTTTCAATCGTGCGAGGAAGGCTCTTGTGGATACAACTGTCCTTGTTCACCCTATACCTGATGCCCTACTTTCCATTGTGGCCGACGCCTCTAATTTCGCTATAGGTGCTGCCCTTCAGCAACAGACGCCCACTGGCACCCAGCCCTTGGCTTTCTACTCTGCCAAATTGACACCCCCACAAACTCGCTATAGCACTTTTGGTAGAGAACTTCTTGCAATTTATTTAGCCATTAAGCATTTTCGTAATTATATTGACGGCCGAGATTTTTGTATTTATACTGACCGCAAGCCTCTCACTTATGCCCTCTCTACTTCTTCTGACAAGTATTCACCCCGCGAGGCCCGCCATCTCGATTTTATTTCTCAGTATACCACCGACATTCGATTTCTTAAAGGCCTTTATAATCAAGTTGCTGACTGCCTTTCTCGGCCTGGCATTAATGCCATCACCCGCCCTTCCATCGATTTGGAGCGCATGGCAGAACTGCAAAATCAGCCGACTTTCAGGGAGAGCCTTCAACACACTAGTCTTCAACTCGAAGCCACTCCTCTTTCCACCACCCCCGGTACAATTCTGTGTGACGAATCGCGCGGTGCCCCCCGACCCGTAGTGCCAAGTGAGATGAGACGAGATGTTTTTGCCGCGTTGCACAATCTAGCTCACCCTGGCATCCGCACTACCCAGCGCCTCGTCAGCGAGCGGTTCGTTTGGTCAAGCATGAACACTGATATCCGCCAGTGGACCAGTTCATGTTTGGCCTGTCAGAAGGCCAAAGTCGGACGGCACAACAAAGCCCCCTGTTGTATCCAGCCGGTCAACGCTTGGAATTCTCCACGCCCTCCTCTCAAGTGCTTCCACATTTGGTCCCTGTTGACATTCCCCTTCCCCTTTTGTAACCTTTTTTGAGCGCGATCGGCGTTCTTTTAATTAACTAATTTTGTATTCTGACCTTGAGCTGGGAATTCGATCTGCTCGAACATTAACAAAGGAATTCTTTGTCCAGGGTATCCATTGTTGAGGTTTGTACGTTTTTTCATTATTACTTTATTCTATCAATAGTACCGTATAAACACCGAAAGCTGTTTTGGCTTATACGCGTCACTTTGCCAGCAAAGAATTCCACAGTACTCAACATCCTACCAGAAATTGGAGGAAATTAATCTCATCAAATGCAGACGCGTTCCATGAAGAATGAATCGGACGGTATGCAACAGTCTCTCGGACTAGACAAACCAGGTGCCTTCGAAGGACAAGGAAAGCTGAAGAAAGACGTCCAGTCCGGCTCTTGTAAGAACGTTTCTATTAGTAGTCGTAGCTCTAGTAAAACAGTTAAGGCTTTAAAAATAGCCGAAATAGAAGAGAGACGAGTTAAACGTGAGGTTGAACTCCCACGGGCTATTTTTGACGCAGAAAAAAGGACAGAGCTAGCAAGGATAGAGGTAGAGACCGATGAAGAGATGTCCGATGACGACCGTCAACCCGTGGATTCCGTCGCGCATGTCTCAGGATATTTGAAACAATGCACATTGAATGAAATTTCTCCTGAAGAGAGTAATCATTGCCAACGTGAGAATGTTGATATGCCCAAAGCAAGCGCTAGGAGCCTGCCAGCTGCCAGTTTAGAACTGCCCAAGGTTGAGTTGTCATGGTTTGACGGGAACCCAGTTCATTATTGGAAGTTTATACGACAGTTTGAAGTGTACGTAGAGAGCAAAGTTGAAGATGCTGGACAGAGGCTGCTGTACTTGATTCACTATTGCAGAGGTGATGCGAGAACGGCCATAGAAGAATGCATCATGCTTCCCTCACCTTCGGCTTATTCAAGAGCACGGGAAATATTGAGCAGCTTATTTGGCCAGCCACATGTAGTGGCTAATGCTCTTCTGGACGGTGTTTTCAGACAGGCACGCCAAGTTAACCAGACTGCGAAGGCACTTTCAGATTTGTACATAAAAATGAGAAGTTGTGAAATAGGGCTCACGCAAATGAACTACGTTTCCGACCTACAATCGCTGAATGTCCTAGAGCGAATAGTGCGTTGTTTGCCGTTTTTTATGCAGATACAATGGGCTGAAGTTGCTGATAAAATATCTATGAATGGTAGAGATCCGGATTTTGCAGACCTCACGGAATTCGTAAATACTCGAGCTAGGATAGCAAGAAGTCGTTTCGGACAAATATCTCGAGATGGGGATGGCAAGCGCTCTCAACAGCCCTTTACTGCCACAGCCCAACATCAAAAACGGGAAAACCCTAGCAATTTTGCCATTTCGAGTGTCGAACCAGATCAACGGCCATGTTACATATGTTCTAATGCACATGAAGTGGCAAATTGCCCACGTTTAATTGGAATGGGTGTCGCAGATCGATGGAATTGTCTGCGGCAACACAAAGCGTGTTTTGTTTGTCTTGGTAATACGCATTTTGCCAAGGTGTGCAGCTCCAGAGAACTTTGCGGTCATTCCGGGTGCAAAAAACGACATCATACGCTTTTGCATGTAATATCGTCGGAAAATTATCAACAAACATTACATGATGAAGGGCTTTGTGCCCTGACTGGAACTACGCATGTACCATCACGACTGGGGGTTATTCCTGTCAAGTTGGCAACTCCGACAGGAAACGTCGAAACTTACGCATTTTTGGACAGTGGCTCGGATGTCACTCTGATTAAACGAAAGCTTCTTGTCGGAAATGGAGTGCTAACAACGCCAACAACATTGACAATCAACACCTTAAGCGGTTCAATCAAATGCAACTCGGAAGTCAGAAGTCTAAGGGTGCTGCCCATGAATGGAACTGAGTCAGTTGAGATTGAAAGGGCTTTGGTAGTCGAAGACTTGCCACTTCGTGCAGAATCGACAATTAAAAGGATAGCCTCTTCGTGGCCATACCTGAGCGATATAATGTTCGACGAGCTCACTGATTGCGAGGTTGGCATACTCATTGGGAATGATATCGTCGAAGCTCATTGGGTACTCGACCAACGTCTGGGTGGCAAAAGGGAGCCGTTCGCCGTTAAAACACTACTGGGCTGGATGCTGCTTGGGTCTTCACGTGGCAGGCAAAAACAAAACGCTGTCTGTCACTGCATTGTAAATCAAGAAAAGGACGTAACGCACAGCATTAAGAAGCTATACGACTCGGAGTTTACGGACACTTCAACAACGACTGCGAGTTACTCATTGGAAGACAAACGGGCACTGGCTATTGTGCAATCTTCCGTTACAATCATAAAAGGGCATTACCAACTGCCACTCCCTTGGCGAAGCAGTACGCTGAATTTACCGAACAATTTTCAGTTGGCGCGTAAACGACTAATCCATCTCAAGAGTAAGTTGGGTCGAGATCCCGAATTACTTCGGAAATATGAGCAAACGTTCCGTTCGTACATGGAGAAGGGATACATCGAGCGAGTTGACGGCAACAAAGCGTTCCCAGTTACGAGACACTGGTACTTACCACACCACCCCGTTGTCAACCCCCGAAAACCAGAAAAAATTCGTGTTGTATTTGACTGTGCTGCCAAGTGTCAGGGCGTGTCTCTGAATGATAATCTATACCAAGGACCTGACCTAAACGCTAAGCTAGTAAGTGTGTTGTTGGGTTTCCGACTTGAGCATATTGCAGTGGCAGGGGATATAGAGGAAATGTTCTTGCAAGTGAAAGTGGACCCGATTGATCGACCTGCTCTGAAATTTTTGTGGTGGGAAAATGACGACCTTGAAGGAGAGCCAGTTGAGTTTCAGTGGACATCTCACCCATTCGGATTGACTTCTTCGCCCTTTTGTGCCACCTTTGCGTTGCAAAAAACTGTTGGAGATTTCGGTTCATCTTACTCTTCATCAACTTGCAGAGCGATTCAATAGAGTATATACGTTGATGATTGTCTAGTCTCGTTATATGATGTCGATTCAGCCAAACGTTTTGTGGACGAAATTTGTAAACTTCTCTCTCAAGGCGGCTTTCGTATGCGAAACTGGGCTTCTAATGACCGGCGTATACTCTCGGTCGTTAGTGCGACTGAACGCTCTTCTGGTATGCGAGATATTGCCGTCAACCCCCTACCTACTGAATGAACTTTGGGGTTGCAGTGGGATACGCATTCCGATATTCTGATGATAAGTTTCAATATGCCCGCAAAACCGTCCACTCGTAGGGGTATTTTGTCCTGTTTGTCCTCACTTTATGACCCTCTGGGCTTCGTTTCGCCTTGGCTGATACCAGGGAAGTGTTTACTGCAATCCTTATGCAAAAACGGACTGAATTGGGATGAAAAACTATCCGGCATCGAGAGCTCTCGTTGGGAAAACTGGATCTCTAATTTACGGAGCCTGAAGACTTTTCAGCTGGGCCGATGTCTTAAGCCCAAAGATATCAGCGATCCGATGCGAGCCGAACTGCACGTGTTTTGCGATGCCTCGGAAGTAGCATACAGTGCAGTAGCATATGCTCGCTTTATTAACGACACAGGAAATTTACATTGTTCACTCGTTTATTCGAAAGCCCGTGTTGCCCCCCTCAAAGCCGTCTCTATACCACGTTTAGAGTTGGCAGCTGCTACTCTGGCTGTGCGCGTGGCTGATCTCATCCGCTCAAGCACCGATAGGTACTTCCAAACAATAACGTTCTGGACCGATTCTATGATAGTCCTTTATTATATACACAATGAATCAACCAGGTTCTGCACATTTGTGGCTAACCGACTGACGTTTATACATGATCTGTCTGCGACCTCTCAGTGGAGATACGTGAGTTCGGACATCAACCCAGCAGACATTGCTTCTCGAGGTACGTGCAACTTTGCGCTGGTACGTAGATGGTTGGACGGTCCGGAATTTTTAGTTCAACCTGAAGGCAAATGGTTTGTACAACCTCCCGTAGGACAACCTGAAGACTTGGAATTCAAGAGGACAACAGCCCAAGTTCATGTATTAAATCAATGTGATGGTTTAGACGAACTAGTTATGCGTTTTTCAAGTTGGACAAGGCTACAAAGGGCTGTGGTCTGGCTCCTGCGTTTCGAGCAGTACGTCAGAGTCACCACTGCCAAGGCACCTAAGGAGACGCTGATGTTGGGTCCTATCCGAGTATCGGAAATGCGCCAAGCTAGCATTAACTTGATAAAGCTTATACAAAGGAAACACTTTTCAGCAGAATTGGATATTCTGCAGTCTACACCAGCAGATTGCCAGAAAAGAAAGTCTGTGAGAAATATTGGCCTGAGAAAGTTATGTCCGGTTTTGATTGAAGGAGTAATGTGCGTTGGTGGTCGCCTGAACTACTCAAATTTTTGTGAATCGTTAAAACACCCGTCAATCCTCCCATACAATCATCCCGTGACGGAATTAATCATACACTACTTTCATGAATTGGAAGACCATTGTGGGACAGCCCAAGTTCTAGGTGCAATCCGTCAAAAGTTCTGGATTCTAAAAGGCACCGCTTCTGTCAAACGTGTCATCGGTAGATGTTTACTTTGCAGACGTAAATTTCGACAACTTCAGGGGCAGATGGTGTCCCCGCTTCCCTTAAATAGAACAGAAGTCGGTTGGTATCCTTTCAAGTGCGTTGGGGTGGACTATTTTGGTCCGTTGATGGTCAAACGCGGACGATCTTCGGCGAAACGCTATGGTTGTGTGTTTAGCTGCTTACAGACGAGAGCCGTTCATCTTGAGATGGCCACCAGCCTGACCACGAATTCTTTTGTTCAGTGTCTGATGAGATTCGTGAGTAGACGCGGACGTCCCACTGACATCTACAGTGACAACGGAACCAATTTTGTTGGAGCGGTAGCAGAACTCCGAAAGGACTTACACAATTGGGACCAAAAGAGAGTGTCGGACCAACTGCTAACTCTAGAGATACAGTGGCATTTTAACCCACCCGCTGCCAGCGATCGGGGA